CATTAGACAAGTGATTATCCGATTAACATATACCATATTGTCATATACTATCGAGCGTTTGGACATCCTTCCCAATCTGCATCTACATATCCTTCGAGATTTAGAGATGATGCTGAATGAAAGAAAAGAACTCGATTAGTTGTACTCCGAACATAGCGAATGATTCTGAGAAGAGCAGAAAAATGATGCTGGCAAGGGTTTGTAACAAATTGGCTCAAGACTTGAACTAGATAAGAGATGTCAGGTCTTATTATTGTCAAATATATTAGACAACCAATGAGCCTCTTCTACAATGTTTGTTCGGCAAGAGGGTCGTCATCATCATTTTTGTAGTTCACATTGATCTCCAAAGGTGTGTGAGCTACCTTCTGATCACTTAGAAATGCTTGTCCGACAAGATCATCTCCATACTTCCTTTCGCTTAACATAATACCATCCTGCAAATACTCAACTTCCAACCCCAAAGAATATGTTAACATGCCAAGGTCCTTCATTTTGAAAGTTGCATTATGAAGATTGTTGAGTTGTACAATTCTATTCTCATTATTACCGGTTATAATCATATCATTCACATACAATAGTAAAACTATCATACTAGTATTGCAGTGCTGGATGAATAATGAATAACTAGAAATAGATTGAGAAAATTCAGCATTTATGATGGTAGATCGAAACTTCTCAAACCATGCATGCGGTGCTTGCTTAAGACCATACAGAGAATTTCGAAAAAGACAAACCATATCAGGTTGACCTTGGTTGTACCCTTCATGCATATAATCTCATGTAGTTCATCATGTAAGAATGCACTTTTCATATCTATTTGATGAAGTTTCCACCATTTGATAGACGCTATAGTGAGCAATACATGAATTGTCGCCATCTTTGAACAGGAGAAAAAGTCTCATCATAGTCCAATCCATATTCTTGTTTTATATCCTTGAGTTACTAGTCAAGCTTTGTACCTCTTCAATGTGCCATCAGACTTCATTTTCACAGGATTAATCCATTTGCTTCTAGCAACAGAAGCTTTAGCCTGTTTGGATATCAAATCCTTTTTGTGATTTTCTTTTAAAGCAGAAAGTTCCTCTTCCATGGCCTTTCCCAGTAGTCATGACTTGATGCCTATTGGTAAGTATTTTTGACAAAAATAGAATTCAATGTAGCAAGTAAGGCATATGATCGATCGTATCTACCTGGAGAGTATACATACAGATCAGGGTAGATGTATTACGTTCAGAGTTACGAAGAAAAGGAATAGAAGAATTTATTTGGTCACTTTGTACAGGTTAACAATAATAATAATCATTATTATCAAATGAGTCAGGGAAAGAGGTATTCAATGAATTATGTGACAAAGTACTATTACGTGAATTATTCGTAGGGAATGTACCCGATTGACAAGGATCATCCGTAATGCCATTAGCGTGTTCGTTGGGAGCAGTGAGAGTCTGTTCCCATTGATTCTCAAACTTGTATAGAAAGGAGAAAGACTATAATTTTGTTGAAGTGGTAATAGGGTAAGCAAGTTGATGCTCAAAAAAGATTACATGTCTGAAAACCCGCAACTGTTGTTTAGAAGAATCAGAACAAATATAGTCCTTTTGAACATCATTATAACCTAAGAAAACACGCCTCACATCTTTAGCAGTTAATTTATGATGTTCATGTCTAGGTAAATGTACAAAACACACAAACAAAACTTCTAGATCAGAATAATCAAGGAGTTTATTAAAAAGAATGGAATATGGACTATCGTCTTTGTTAATGTAAATGGTGTGTCTGTTTATTATATACTAGTTCCAGACACGTGCGTTGCACGTGTTCCCCAAGCTAAATTGCATGAAGTTGTTGTAACGATGTGTTTGTATGACCTCATTGATATTAAAGATGAAGAAACCACAAATATTGTGAAATAAAAATAATTATATGTTAAATGGTGCGTACATTTTGATTTAATAATTTGGTGATAGAATAAAAATAGATCAACAAAAAAATAATTACAAATTAAAATAATTAATTAAAAAAAATATACAGAAAACTTTCACATATATAAGAAAATATTAGGCAAAATAGAAGGCATACCACTATATAAGAAAACTCACATTTATAAGAAAACTTTCAAATTTTCTTTTCAAGAAAATCAAAAAAGTCTTTCTTTTGTAATGGAAGATATATGTATGTTTTTCTTGTAAAGACGGTTTAACTTAACTAAGAGAAAAGTAATTAATTAAATTGGAAAATTTGAACTAAAACTTCATATTAGAATTAAAATGAATTAAATGAAAGAAAATGAAGGATAAAAATCAAAGTCTCAAACATCTTTACATATTTCACCTTAAGCTAGAGACTTATAGTAGATGAATATGGTCAATATATTAAAATTAAGTGTATTTAATTATTGAGTAACCCTTCAATTTCTTCAAATTTTATAATTTCAAAGAGTGTTATACTCTATACAAATTTATAGGATAATTCTAGTAATCTAACCTTAACTTTGTTGCTTCACACTTTTAATAGAACTAATAATTCTATTTTTACGATAAAGTTTGTAAAATAAAATAGTAAATCAAGAAAAAGTACTTTAAAAGCTATACAACTTATGTGGTTATCAAAGCAAGAACAAATTCTCAACCATGCAAAGACTTAAATCATAAAACTCAAAGTCTTATTGTGTACAATAATATTTTATTTGTAGTTATTTATTTATCAAATAGGAAAGAAAATAGAAATTTTTTAATGGTAAATAAAAGAACACCTCTAAAGAATCAACAAAAATATTATAAAATGAAGCTAAAATTAACAATGTGAAAGAAAAAAGTAGTAACAATGTGAAAGAAAAAGAGATGACAACTTTCTTTATTCTCTTCCAATTATTCAAAATCTCTTCGATAGGATATAATTGAGGGACTCAAAGGATTGTCATGAATATGTCATTAACCCATTTCATGGATGAAAGGTGAAAGTAACAAGTATATTATTATGAACATCAACAAATGTATAATATCTTCATTTCTAATATAATAACACAAAATAAAAATTCCACTTGAACACATAATAGAGAAATCTTAGCAGATCTTAATTAATCTACAATAAAATTATCAAATAAATATTAAGAAACAATAAATGAAGAGAAGTAGCTATCATCAAAACTAACACAATATATATCATGACATAATTTACAGATCGGAAAATTAGTGAAGCACACAGTGATATTTATAGCCAAGATATATAAAAACTCAAAAGTCAAGTTAGAAAAAGATCATTAAAATATCATTAAATATATTTATTAAAGAAGTGAAAGGACATTTTATATTTTATTCTTTAAAAATTGTTAGATTTCCAAAACTGTTAAAATCCAAATTTGTAGGTATTCTTTAAAGTTAAAACGTATGAGTATAAGTATTCAACATATGTATAATACACATAAAAGAATATGAAGAACCAATTTTGAAACTGTTAAAACATTTATTGTATGGTAGTCAATATGATACTTAGCATTTATTTAAACATATGTTTACATCTTTTTTTATACAAAATATTAAAGAAGTATTTTCTTTATTTAAAGATAAAAATGTTTAATTAATTATATTAGATGAATTTAATTAAATATTTTATAGCCTTTTCATTAAATGTAGGGATAAAATGGTAATTTAACTTTTATGTTTTGAGCTTCATGCTTATAATAATATATGATGAAGAAGTTTTGATGACTTCAACCCAAGATGTTTTTGAAATATTTGATGTATCAAGAAGAGCTAATTAGTTTTCCAAAACATGCCTATTTTTTTCATTCTACAACCCCACTTTGCTCAGGTGTGTCTCGACAAGAGTATTGTGGAGTAATGCCTCTCTCTTTGAAAAAACCTATGAGTTCTAACTTCATATATTCCCCACCTGAATCAGAGTAAATTTTTTTGATCCATTTGTTGAACTCAGTCTCAACAGGTGGAAAATTGTTGTATGGCGTTAGGAACTTCACGTTAGTTTCTTCAAAAGAATACTCATGTATATCGAGAAAATGATCAATAAAAAAGATAAAATATCGATACCTCAATCTAGATGAAATTGGTGCAGGACCCCATACATCACTGTGAATCAAATCAAAAGTAGAGTCGTATGAAATAATACTACTAGGAAAAAGTAGTTTATGGCTTTTGGATTTAGCATAATTTTCACAAGACAATTTTGATGAAAAAACCAATGACCTTTTATTCAAATGAAGACAATATTATAAAATGGAAGAAAGTTTTTGAGCATGTGGATGTCCCAGACGATGATGTTACAAGCACCACAATTTATTTGAGTTAGTAATGTCTCCTTTAGTAGTAGACAAATAACAAGCATGGTGAGTTGTATAAGACATGGACAACTGAAACATTCTCCCAACTTTATGACCCTTGGCGATCATCTTCCATGTCTTCAGATTGTGAACAACACAACCAAGACATGAGAAATAACAGGAAAATTGTGTTCCACTAATTGTCCAACCGAAATAAGATTAACAGCGAGTTTAGGGACAAAAAGGACATTAGAGAAGCAAGATGATTTTCCAGTCTTAAAGACAGGTAAAGTATCACCATAAGATGTTTTTTTAATGGAGCTAATAAGGAGTGTAAATAATTGATATCTCCTTCCATATGGTTAGACACAATCGAATCTATATGCCAAACTTTTGAATTCCTATTTAAATTCTTACCAGAATTAGGAAACACTGAGACTACTAGAAATAGCCCCTGAGAGAGAAGCTATAACTAAATATAGTATCATCTTTTGAAGTGCATTCGGATCCAAAGAAGATTGTGTGATCTTTGCTTTACTCATATAAGTTTCAGACGCTAGGTAAGCTTTTTGTGCTTGGTTTGATTCCACTCAAGAATTATATTGCCAGACTTCTTACCATAATTGCATATGTTTCTTTTCTTGCAATGTGACGCAATATGATCGTACTCTTTGCAATCAAAGCATTTTGGTCCAAACTTTCAAACTGAGCTATCAGTAAGTTATTTATGAGTTCCTTTTGATGTATACACAACCGCGTCAATTGTGTAGGAGAAATACATGGATGCTACAGTATTGATGCGAGTCTCCACATGAATGAGTTCTCCAAACACTACATCGTTGTCCGGAAGAGTTTGTCTGTTAAGAATGTTAGCTCTAATAGGCTCAAAATCATGTCTCAATTTCATGAGAAATTGTACTAGTCGAGTCTTCTTCCTCTCCAAAATAACCTCCTTGAAGCCTGTGAAAGAAACATTTCCTCCAAACCTTTGGTCTGGTTCTGAACAGATTTCCATAAGTTCTGAATAATAACTCCAAATGTCTTTATCTCCCTGTTTGTATTCCGAAAGAGTATGTGCCAATTCAAATTTTCGAGAATAATTGCATTGACAATATACCGTTTTGAGATGCTTCCATATATCTACTGCCAAGTTGGATGGATGCAGACTGAGAGCAATATCAGCATGTATGAAATTGAGGATCCAGAAAATTACACGAGCATTGCTAGCGTGCCAAACTTGTTTTCCCTTATCTTGATTAGGCTTAGTTGTTGATGAATCCAAGATTCCAAACAAGCTTTTCCCTTGAACAAAGATTCGAAAAGGAAATTCCCACATCGGATAATTTTTTCGATCATTAATTTGGTAGACAAAATATAGGTGAGAATGTGACTCCATTAGAAAGACAAGAGATATCCGATGATAGAAATCAAACAACAATAAGGAGCAAATCAAAGTACTTTCTAGAAAAAAAAAATTGGCTCTTGATACCATAATAACAACAAAAAAATAAGACCAAAAAGACTTTGAAAGCTATTATGTGTTTTCTTTTCTTTACTATTGATAAATTATCCACTATCTATATACAAAGGTACAAGCCTAATTCTAGAACAAATATCATATCATAATCATATTAAATATGATTTAGAATCATATAATATATTTGTAATCATATCAGATATGGTATGAAATAATATCATATCATATATGATATTCGGATAAGATTTAGAATCATATTAGATATGATTTGGAATCATATCTGATATGGTCAATAAGTATCCTTTGTCGGTTATGTGACTATCACCTATTACCTGGTGAAGTTTTATTAAGAAGTATATATGATATATATTTATCAGATTGATTTTTTCTCATGACTTTGTTCATGATTGACATAGTTTGTATACGTGGGGTGTTTGTATAATGTGGGAACATTGATGGGTGACCCGTCTCGAGTTTTCACTACAGACACCAACATCAGAGTGACAATCCTTCAATTCAGTCCAGCATCCCAATTGCCTATAATTTTACTTGGCTGCAACAACTTTTCAACGTGGAAGGCTCAATTCTTGATGCTTATGCTTGGTCATGATATTTATGGCCATCTGGATAGGTCTGCTCCGTCCCCTTCTCGCACGATCACTACTGGCGTAGTCCCTAGTGCCAATTCTGTGTTTTCTCTTTGTTTTCGCAAAGACCAACTTATTTAGTGTGCCCACCACCAACTCTCGAAACACTCGTTATCCCAATAATGGCAGAAACCAGAAATGGCGTTCCAATAATCGATCTACTACACCCACTCAGTATTGATCTTCCACCATCACCAACTCCTATGATGGTGTTTGCTGCCAATTGTGCGACAAACCTAGTCATGTTGCATGTGTGTGTAGATCAAAATCTCACAATCATTTTGATGCAAAAGTTAACTATGTTTCAGGATTGTAGGCATCAAAAAATTCTTAGATTGTCGACTTTGGAGCATCTCATCATATCAATATTGAACCTCACAACTTGCAGGCATTCAATGGCAAGGAGACTATCTCCATGGGCGATGTTAACAAAATACCCATAACTCACACTGGTTCTACTCAATTACATGCATAAAATAATGCTTTCAAGCTTTGTTTCTATGTGCACCTACCATTAAGCGTAACATAGTTTCAGTTTCTAAATTTTGTCAAGATAATCTAACCTTTGTTAAGCTTTTTCCTTTTCATTTTTGTATAAAGGACCTGAACACAGGGACTCCTTTGGTCCATGGCCGGAGTAGAGACGGTATTTATGAGTGGCCAACTTCACCTTCGGTGCCTTCCCGACAACCAAATTTTGTCTCCGCCAAATCGTCCTCCATTATCACTTGACATCGTCGATTGTGTCATCCATATGCTGGAGTTTTGAATTTTGTTTTAAAATAAATTCTCGCTGCCTTGTTCACGAGAAAAATTTTCAGTTTTTTAATTCATGTTCATCAAATAAATGTCATCGTCGTCCCTTTCAACAACTTATATTGTCAAGTAGAAAACCGTTTCAAATCATTTTTAGTGATTTGTGGGGTTCTTCTCTGTTGCTATCAATTGATGAAAAAAAATAGTACTACTGCATTTTTGTTGACCAATTTTCAAAATACATTTGGCTTTTTATACCTTGAAACATAAAAGTGAGGAAAACGAACATTTCAAAAACATTAAAGTTTTAATGGAAACGTCATTTCAATACAAAAGTTATTTCTTTATACACCAATTGTGGTGGAGGATATAGAAGTCTTGATCCATACCTAAACTCTCAAGGTATTGAACATGTTTTAGCTCCTCCATACACCCCTCAACGATTTTCTCTTGACGAACGATGACAGACACATTATTGAAACAGCAAGAGCATTACTCCATGAAGGCTCGCTTCCCCTGATCCTTTGGTCCTTTGCTTGTAAATATACAATTTACCTAATCAATCGCTTATCTACCTCCATTTTGCAAAATCAATCACCTTTTCAAATGTTATTTGGTACAAATTCAGATTATTCCGAATTATTTTTTTGGGTGCTTGTGTTATCCATGACTCAAACCATACTCGAAGAATAAATTAGAGCAATGATCGACACCTTGTGTTTATTTGGGACTAGTCTTGAAAATGTGCATTTCACATTTCGGCTTAGCTACTATATGAAATTTATATATCAAACTCATCTTGATAATATGCATAGTACTTTTATCTTATTGTTTCCGCAAAACTCATCTCTCAAGTTGGTAAGTCCAATCAACAATTGAACAATATAATAAGAAAAAAAGAATCTCCATCCACCATTACATGTTCTTTATATGTATTAATTTAACAGAAAATTACAAACTAAAAAGTAATTATGAAAAGAAAATCTATAGAAGGAATGTTAAAGAAAATATTCCTCATAGCAAATCAATTAACATGAACATTAATAATAGTTACATTTTAATTATCATATCAGACAAACAAAAAAAAATAAGACTTAAACAAATCAATATATTAATGGAAAAGGGTCAAAATTGCCCATGAAATATGTGAAATAAATCACTTATACCTTGTGTTACATTTTAGGATAAAAAATGCCCCTGCCGTTATCTTAAGGGACCACAATTACCTTTAAACCTTAACAGAAGTGATATGGAAAGCCACATTGCACTAAATCTGTCACCTAGGCTTGCCAACTAGGACCCACTAGAAAATTTGACCCAATTCATAATTCAACACTAACCCATTTTTATTGGATCCAACCCACTAAAATTAAGCGGAAAACATCATATTTTTTTTACCTCATTCTATTTGATTATTCAATTGTGAAAACTTTCACAAGGTTTAGCTTACTTTCGTCATGATTTCGGCCACTATACATTAAAAAATTATGCTCCAGCACCATTCCTGATAGTGCCATAGTTTTTTATACTTTCCACAAATTTTGAGGAGCATGATTATACCTCACAACCACAAGCTGACTACATTGATAGTTTCTACATTTCAGCTTACAGTCTAGCGGATTAACACTACAACAAAAATAAGAGAGCGATTTGGTAAAATGTGAACACAAAGTTTCTCGATGATCTTGAGAAAGTAACGAAATTTAGCGTTGATTAGGACTAAAGTTATCGATCAACTGAAATGAGAGGTAAGCTATTTCCCTTCATAAACTTGATCAAGACACCCACATGATTGTAAGAGTAGTTCGAAAACACCTGCTCTTTCTTAGTTGAAATCATGGTGTATCAAGTTATCAAAAGTGTCCATTCTGCTATATTTAAGCTCGTCTAAGTCCAATATTGGATGAATAATATAAACAAAATATTGCATCAATTGAGTAGTAGAATATTGAAGGCCAAAAGACCATCAAGTCAGTTACAATATCGTCATCAGTCATAACTAACAACTGCAACTACTAACTCGCCTCCTCATTCTTTACTATTAACTCGCCTCCTAATTATTTTAACTTAACATAATCTTCTGGTGAATGAGTAATCTTTACGGGCAAGAAGTGGGCTGATTTTGTAATTCTATTGACAATCACACAAATAGAAGCATGTTGCTTGTGAGATTTGGGTAAGCCTGTGATGAAATCCACATTAATAATCTCCCACTTCAAATCCGGAGATCAGGGTAATCCCCGGGCCTTTGGTGCTCTACTATAACTTGTTGGCAATTCGAGCACTTCTAAAAAAATTCAGCAATGCCCTTCTTCATACCATTTCCCCCCACATATACTTCTCTTAAATCACGGTATACCTTCGTGGAGCCTGGATGAATGGAGTATCTAGAGCTATGAGATTTCTCCATTATCCTCTCTTGGAGTCCATCCACCATTGATGTATATAGTCTACCTTGACACCTCAAAATACCATTCCCCCCCCCTTGTTCAAAAGCTAATACTCTTTGCTATTCAAAATTTTCCTTCAACTCAAGCAAAATGGGATCCTGGTATTGCTTCTGTTTTTTTCCCACTTATGATACTAACGACGATTCATCCCCATTCATCACCACTATTGGTCCTTCTGTGGAATACATTAGTCGGACTCCTAAGCGTGCAAGTCTATACACATCTTTTGCTAGTTCCTTCTTATCTTACTCAAGATGGGCGGTACTACCCATGGAGAACCTGCTTAAGGCATCAAAAACAACATTATCCTTACCTAGGTGGTAGTGAATACGCATGTCATACTCCTTGAGCAATTCTAATTACTTCCTTTGTCTGAAATTATTACCACCCCAGAGTATCCCTGGATGTAACCGGCATTTTCGACCTCAAAGAGGTCTTACACAAGACCTTAGCATTCATCATACATCATAGATGGAATAAAAGCAAAAATCTTAAAAAGATGTCATTTGAAATTCAACTTCACTTCATTTATCAAAAATAGAAACTAGCTTGTCTCAAATAGCCATTTAAACATAAGCGTATGAGAATTGGAATTAGCCCTTACATCAATAACAAGTGTCGTAATAAGAATTTTTAATACAGTCTTTCAATAAGGAAAATGGAACTAGAATTAGATTCAAGAAACTCCATCGTCAAACATGAGGACTTACAAACTTGGACAACAATCATATTTTCTTCAAGAAAAGAGTAGAATCATCTCAATGGCCCGAAACCACACTTTGTGTAGAAAATCGGAAAAATATGGGTTAGTACAAACCACATGTATTAAGAATGGAATTATATTCACGTAAAACATTTGAAAACATGAACAAAGGGAAATTTTTTAAAGCATTCTAAGTTCACCTTAAGCCTTCGTGCACATTCCAAAAAACATTTACAAGTCCATCTCATAATAATAAGACATATGCATATTCATGTTCAAGAGTAACATCATTATAGACCCATA